GAGAGAGAGAGAGAGAGAGAGAGAGAGAGAGAGAGAGAGAGAGAGAGAATATATATTTTGCAATCAATGTCGTAGCGGGCGCCTTCGCATGTAGTTGGAGGAGACGGTCTTCGTCCTCCGCAATCATTCCGGGCACTGCAGGCAGTAGCGGGCGCCTTCGCAGTTAAATATTGTTACCATCGTCTCAAATTTTCCCATTCCATTAATCCCCTCCCTCTGTATCGCTTTGCCGATATATGTCTATATGTCCTCTTCTCTCTCTCTGCCTACGGTTTACCGGGCAGTTCTGTTTGTAACGATATATAGTACGGAATGCACATCGAGGCAGGGAAGGCAATCGCGCATGCAAATCAGTACGTGTGGGCGGTGGGTTGGGTTTCTAGACGAAATTGCGGTAGTGACTTGCGCAGATGGGTGTCGTTCTCTTCTACGATTAATAACACCATCTGAACTTAACATCCTGACTCAAGATCCTCAAGAATGACGGCGATCTGACAGCAAGTGTCCGCTGTGTCATGTCGTTTTTTTCTTTTTTCTTTTTTTTTTCCCCCGCTAACCTCTTTTTTTTTTTTTTTTTTGAGGGCCTCGCCACACCATAGTCCTCGAGAGTAGTTTTTTATTGAGGGCCTGGCCACACCATAGTCCTCTAGAGATGAGACGAAAGAAGTACGATTGCATCTTGCGCCGAATGCGACTAGATGCGTCGTAAAGTTTGCATATAATATTATTGCCATTCTTCGTGCGACCATGCACTTGTACTTTTCTAGGCGCAAGGAACGGAAGTTGGAGCTTTGTCTTCTGCTCCTCGTCAGTCTTAGGGCCGCGCCACACAGCCTGTCCAAACGAGAAAACGACAAAAATGTGGCAGGTGCATCTGGCCATGTTCTAGCGAGAAGTTCATTCTCGTTTTGCACATTTCGATACTTTTCTAGACCCTAAGGAACGGAAGTTGGAGCTTTGTCTTCTGCGCCTCCTCAGTCGTAGGGCCTCGCCACACAGCCTGTCCAAACGCGAAAACGACAAAAATGTGGCAGGTGCATCTAGCCATGTTCTAGCGAGAAGTTCATTCTCGTGTTGCACATTTCGACAGCCTGTGTGGCGAGGCCCTTATTGTCACAGTGACGAAATTAATGAGACGGAATAATTCGGCCAATGCAGTTGACGACTTCATTGAGCCGGAGTAACGGTTGCCTCTCTCTCTCGGCGCGCTGAATGCAGTGCTCGAACGCTCATGCTTTATTTTTTAATTTTTTGTATTAATTATACCCGCTGTCTCCCTTTCGTGTCCGAATGCTCAAGCCGTAATTCCGCTAACGACGGCCATCACATGGTCTTTGCTCCTTGTACATTCTCTCGCGCTGAATGCAGTTCCCGAACCCCCCTGTCTCCCTTTCGTGCCCAAGTGCTCAAATCGTGATTTTCCATTGACGACATCCGTCACATGCTCTTTGTTACTTGTACATCTTCAAGATTCAACGACTTCTGGGTGCGTGCAGTACGTGCGTAGGCGCGCGCGCGCGTGTGTGTGTGTTTGCGTGCATACGTCCACGGGTGTTCACATGTCTACCGGGCACCGAAAGGCCGCGAGACAAACCTACCTAGTCGGAGATTGGCACTATCGACAGGGAAAGCAGAGCTCTGTCTGAGTGTGATCCTTTGTGTGCCTTTCAGACACACACACACACACACACACACACACACACACACACACACACACACACACACACACACACACACACACACACACAGATAGATAGATAGAGAGAGAGAGAGAGAGAGAGAGAGAGAGAGAGAGAGAGAGAGAGAGAGAGAGAGAGAGAGGAGTGTGTGATGCATGTTGTGCTGGACGGGGTGTAGTTGGCGTTGGGATAGTCGATCTGCTTTTTCTGAACGATTGTTGTAAATACTAATGATGCGTATATGGGCACAAATCAGGCAGGTCGCGTGCGCACTCCGCAGCGTGTTGGGGAGGGTTCTTGGCGGGAAAGGGAGAACACGATAAGAAAATTGCCGAGGAGCAAAAGCTTCCATCTTTTCCGAAAACCGAGAGGGAAGTGGTGGAAAAGCAAGCTATAAGTTCATTCCGAGGAGATGAGCGCGTATCGTATCGTAGTTGTTCTATCCGTTCGCTTTTATATCTTATTCTTTTGGGCCCGCACTTGGACTGTGCCCGTCGTCCAGACACTGGCTTAGTCTTTCGAGCCAAGCGCTCCATCCATTGTATCTTTCCCCACTGCTTGTCATCGTACAGTCATCATCGGCGCCATGATTCCCCACTCTCGCCGTCATTCACCAATTACAGTATATCTGTCTGGCCGTCCGTCTATGAACGCCATAGCTGCAGAAATCTGGGTAGAGAGCTGTGGTAGAGAGCTGTTTTTCCAACTAAGGAGAAAGGAGTCGCGCGCCTGCCAGAAAAACAAGGCCATAGAGACCGACGACAGATGACCAGTGTCCCGCGTAATACGTACGTACGTCATTTTTTTTTTATTTTTTTTTTTTCCCGGACACACACACACTGCCCCAATCTATTCTGGGGGGCACCAGTCCGGTTACTTATCACCGGCAAGCATCAAGAACAATGATGGCAAGAAAGATAGATAAGATAGAGGAAAGGGCTTTACCTGCCCGGCCCTAGCCACCAATCAGCAGGGGACTCCGTCTGTGCACTCATATGCAGTACTGAGGGGAGGTCCCATGGGAGTTCTGGGTGGGCGGGAAACTTCCAAACGGTACCCAGACCCCAACGAGAGTGCTCCCAGGGGACTCAAGCACGTCTTATTACAGTAAGTAGAGAGGGAACCCAAGCACGAGCTCCTTCACGACTCCCGCCGTTAGGACATGAAGCGCCAGTAGGATACGAGATACCCGCCCCCCTCCCTCCTCCCCCCCTGTCAACAACCATGGGTGTCTTCTGTTTGCCATTCATCGATGTTGCCGTATCTGTGCTACTCGTGATATGGCTGGCGGCTCCATCATCATCATCATCATCATCATCATCATCATTATCATTGTCATCTCGGCCAGGTGCACTTTCCCCTCAGAGTCCGCCGTCGCCATCGTCAAGGAGGGTAAAGCGAGGAGATGCATACTCAGCTGGCGATGGCCGACCATCGCTTGCCTTCGAGCGGGGGAAGCTTCTGAGGGAGGAAGCTTCTGAGGGAGGAAGCTCTGTTCGGCAACCTGAGGATCCTGAACACGACAATTTTATCTGGCAGTAGCGAGTTGATTGCAGAGAATGCGATACTACCTAAGCCTCCCACTAATGAACAGCATGTTTGGGCCATGGCTTTGTCGCCGCCGCCGGATCACTCTCTCTTCTTCATCATGAGCGACCGCATCTACAAGCTCCCACTTGACGTGGGGCCCGGCCGGACAAACGTCACGGCTATCGCTGGGCCGTGGATTAATGCAGACAAAAGAAGCGTGGTAACAGGGATGGCGATGGAGGATCTCGGATTGGCAGAGTCGGGATCCCGACAGAGCAGCAGCAGCAGCAACTCGTCGAGAGGGAGCGTTCTCCACGTGTCGGACTGCAGCAACTTCACGCTTCGAGCCTTGGCGGCGGACGGCACCGAGCTCTTTTCTCGGAATTACAGAGGAGTACTTTTCGGGGACCAGCAGGGACTGAGCGGACCGTACGTTCCGTACTGTTTCCAGACGTTGGCTGTGGACAACGCCCGCCGTGTGCTCTACGCCTCGTCGATTTACGCCATCTACAGGATGAACTTGACTTCGGACAGTCTAAGTTATCCGCGGGTAGAGCATTGGATTGGGCCCCAGCTCAAAGGGGAGGGATTCAGGGACAGCCAGGACCCTCTCGATGTGCTTTTCAATCGGGCCTACATTAGCTCGCACGCCATCTCTGAAGACGGCCAACTCATCTATGTTGCTGACAGGGACAACCACTGCATTCGGCGGATCCGCGCCGCCACGCGAGCGGTGGACACCGTTGCGGGAAGAAACGGTACCAGCGGCTGGAACGACGGCCCGGCGGTGTCTGCGAGTCTCAATAGTCCCGTGGGCCTGGCTCTCACACGCGACGGCTGCAACCTTTTCGTTGCCGAGTTCCGCGGCAGAAACGACTCGGTATCGGGAAAGTACGTTGGGCTGCTCAGACTGATTCACCTGAGCAGCGCGGGAGACGCAGTAGCCGTGATGACCGTTGCCAGCTTGCAATCTTCATCGTCAGATCATATCTTGCTCTCACTCGCACTCTCTCGTGACGAAGACAGACTGTACATAGGGAGGGGCGACATGCAGATCATGGAGGTCAACGTCAAAAGGGCGGCCTTGTTCTCCTGCCGGGCTCCTGTCGTCAAGTTGAACCCGGATCGTTCTCAAGTTACTGTCGTAATTGTTACCACAGTAACTGTGACGGTGGCACTGCTGTTGCTTGTGGGAGCATTGATAGTCATTCGACGCCGAAGAGACCGCCGACGAAGGGTGAGATTCTCCGGGGATGCCATGAGGAAATCGCTGAAGGCCACGTCAACGGAGATGACGTCATCGGGGACCGGGGACAGCCATAGTGGCGCGGCGGGAGGCCAGCCGGGGGTGCTCGTGAGGCCGTCGTCCGTTTTGAAGCAGTACACCTGGGAAGAGCTGGCCAAAGCGTGCGACGGCTTCAGCCCGTCACGGCTTGTCGGCAAAGGCGGAGCAGCGGAGGTCTACAGGGGGGAGATTGCGGGCGGGCAGAAGGTAGCCATCAAAATGATGAAAGGCGCCGAGTTCTCGGAGACCAGGTTCCGCCAGTTCCAAGCGGAGCTGGATGTGCTTGCCACGCTCCGTCACATGCACCTCTGCAGCATCATCGGGTACGCCGCKCAYCAGTCCAGGTCGTTCATCGTCTACCCCTTTGTGGAGGGCGGTACCCTCTATGACTGTCTGCACGGGGCACCGCCCGAACCCAACCCGGGGGATGGGGACGCGMGGCCGGAGCGTGGGCCCTTGAGCTGGAAGGCGCGCCTCTCSATCGCGCGGCAGGTTGCCAAGGCCCYGCGGYACCTGCACGAGGAGGTGGACCCCCCCGTCATCCACAGAGATGTCAAGAGCAAAAAYGTGSTGCTTGWWTATGGTGGCCATGGAGATTCCGCGAAGATACGGGCATACCTCTCGGACTTCGGGCTGGCAAAGCTCGGGCAGAGCGCTTTCAGCAGCAGCACCCCGCCGCTGCTCGCAGGTGCACAGCCGCCCCCTGGGAACATGACCAACATTGACCTTGTGACCTTCGACACTACAGAGTACACAGTGACACGGTCCGGGGACACAATCCACACGCTCAATGTTGCGGGCACAAGGGGCTACATGGCGCCAGAGTACATGAGATCTTGCTGGCTGACCTACAAGAATGATGTGTACACGTTTGGGGTGATCTTGCTGGAGCTCGTCACCGGGAGGAAGGCATTTGGACGGATGGATGTTTTGCCCGGGCAACAGCAAGACGCCAGGAATGGGACAGAAGGGATACCGGAGACTCTGACATTCTGGGCGAAGAGAACGCTTCGGAGCCTGGAGTGTCTCTCGTCCTCTGACGAAGAAGAGGGTAGCAGAACATACAGAGGGACAGGAGTGGCGCCTACTGCGTCTTCGAGCAGGAAGAGGGCGTATTCCATGAAGATTGAGGGAGTGCAAGAGCTTGCAGACCCTCAGCTAGAAAGCCTTTGCATGGCCCGTACTAGGACATCCTTGAGATCGAAGGCCAGCACGAAAAGGGCGTATTCCACGAAGATGAACGGAGTGCAAGAGCTTGCAGACCCTCAGCTGGAAAGCATCGGCGGGTACGACCGGAGAGGTATGGCCGCCATGCTGAAGTTGGCAATGGAGTGCGTGAGCACGAACCCCAAACGGAGACCTAATATGGGGGAGGTCCTGGAGAGGTTGGGCCGAGCGGAGCGGTGACATCCAGCGCAGATAAGTGGTTGGTGGCTAGCTGGATATCCTGTTTGATCTGCCATGGTGGCCTTTGCGATAACCAACAATCTATAGGAGCCAACTGCTGAGATGCTGGCTCGGAGGAAGAGTGTGGGGCTGGAGAGGGGAAAGGTTGTTCTACTCTCTTATAAAGTCGACGCCACCTCACACCAGTAAGGCAAACTGGGAATAGTGTCCTGTCGTCTACCTCGGTAGGTCTCATGCCTGAGTAGCTGCACCAAATAGGTGCTTGGTTCTAATCCTGTTGCCGTCATTTTCGGCCTCAGGAGGATGGCCAAGTCCAGTCAACAACGCTGGTAGCTTGTTGGGGTGAGTTGTGCTGCCCTGTGACCGTGGCAATCCAGGAGCATCAAGCAAGGTGGAAGTGGCTGCTCAGGTCCTTCTGCAGGCGGCCCGGTCAGGTTGAATTCTCAGTCAGAATCATCATAGCTGAAATTCATGGCTCTATTACGATGCCTACAAGGTTTGAGACCCCCAATTTCAGGATATTTCAAGGCGCCTACTAAGCAAAGTCTGCCAAACTGTTCATTAATCGTTGGGGGGCATTTTCGGGCTTGGTGACGAAGAACATGACGGCAGGACAACAACCGGAGTTGAATTCTCGGCCTTTTCCATGTAAAAAACCTCTCTTTTTGTGGAGTAGGTGGAATTTTCGGCTTTTTCTTGCAAAAAGATGTTTATGTTTTTACAGAGAATGATGCCTTAGGGGCTCGCCACACAGGCTTTCTTTTTTTTTTTTTAAAGAAAAAAAGGACATTATATTTCTGAAAATGTACTGAGGCCGGGAATTCCTCACAAACAACCCGGTAAAAAGAACTGGGGCCATTACCCAGCTAAGGCTTGAACTGGAAACCGGGTCCAGCGTCCCATTGAAGAAGGTGGGACCCAATTTGCTGGAATAGGGGCCAGCAACCCCTTATCTGAAAATAGCAATCTGTGAGCCAAAAGGGTGGCTCAGCCTATCTTGTCCCTCTGGTATGTCTATGTCCTGTCTATAAGTAGCTCTGTTGATTGAATAGAAACTAAATGATCTCACCAACAGGTCTCCCCCGAAAAGAAAACAGCGGCCTATCATTGGCCTAGTGAATGGCCTAATGTACGGCCGTTGGAGCCTGAGTAGTAAGCTCCCCGAAGCCTCGTAAAAAGAACCTTGAGAGCCTAACTCGACTCAGAACTCTGTTGGGGAACCCGCCTGAGGCTGAGAAAGGAAACGAATGAGAAAGAACTGCTGTGTAAAAATTGACTGTCAACCTTATGTGATCCAAGTGTCTGCGCCTGGCTTCTCTGAACTGGTATGAAAAATTCTTCAGATTATCAGAAAAAAGGGAAAGAAGAGGGAGAAAATTTGGTCAGAGAACCGAAAACTGAGCCATGGACTCCCAAAAAAAAAAGAAAACAACCTTAATGAAAAAGGACTACTTCACTAATCATTTATAGACTTATCTAATCTAGAATAATGCACCTTTGCTTAGTACCTGAGGACAATAGCATACTGAAGATGAGCTCCCTTTTGTCAGACGGAATTGCCCAGCAAAAGGGAGAACCCCACAGTTTCTTGAAGTGAAAAAATTTCTGCTCGTCTGTCTTCCTGGTTCTCTTGATACGCGCCAATCCGCTGCCATGGTTGCCTTGAGATCGGAAAGCATCTGATATTTGAGGGAGAATAGGCTGGATTCTTGCTCATCAAAAAGGAGGAAATTTATTTTCCTCCATAGCAGCCATAGGGCTAGAGCCCTAGAAACTTCAGCTGGCCTAACAGCCTTGGTAAGTCCTGCAAAATTACCAGTGAGGACCGTCTCCTTGCTCCATCCCTGTGAGGCGGGTTCTTCAGGGTAAGCAGATGACCACGTCTCCCTCCACCAAAGCCAGAAAGCCAAAGCTGAGGGACACTCCCACCACATGTGTGGGGTGTCTTCGACTGCTAATGGGTGACAGGCTTTGCAGAAAAGATTGATGTTCATACCTCTCACTACACACCATTTGGCTGTTGGCATACTGAGCATGAAATTCAGCCACAGTAGACTAGCGTGTTTTACGACTGTGTATGATTTCAGAGATTTACCCATATTTGAGCAATCTGAGAACCGAGGCTTTGGCAGGTCGTTAGCCTGCGAGAATTCATTCCAGCCATGACACCCCCGACATTCCGTACTAAGGAACTGCTATGCCAGCCTCAACCCTATGCTACGTACTAGGAGGACAGCCAACCCTAGATCATGAGTTATGGACTGAGTTTCGTATCCTTATGTTGTCTTTACTACAGTGTTCTATGGTGTTGATGGTAGAGAGATGGGGATCCTCCGTTCCCTCGTACATCCCTGGAGCCCGTTCTGGCCCCACGGTAAGGTGCAGTATCTCCCGACACCCCCGACATCCATACTAAGGACTGCTATGCCATCCTCATATCTAAGGTGCGTACTAGGAGGATAGCCCACCCTCAATCGTGAATCATGGACTGTATGTATTGAGCCTGGATAATCTATTAGCCCTGTGTTGTATGGTAATCTGAGAGCAGACAATCCTCCGTTCCCTCGTATGTCCCTTCGGACCCCGCGGTAAAATGCAGTATCTCCTAAGGAACTGCTATGCCAGCCTCAATCCTTTGACCACGTACTAAGAGGATGACCAACCCTAAGTTTGAGATTGGTATCGAACATAGGACCTTATGTGAATCGTGCAAGTGACCTAACCTATCGACCTACACCGTGAAATAGTCTGTGGCTGTGCTCTGCTGGGCTCGAGTAAACTGGACTCTGCAAGCCACCCAGCAGTCTCATGACAACCCCGTAGACCAAGAACATCAGGATACCCACCATCGCCCAGTCCCCACATACAACAACCATGGACTACCCCCTGGGTGGTGTGCAGGCAGTGTCTGTAATAACTTACCTGTGTCATCCCAAGAGTGTGTGTGTCCAGTCGTGCGTCATTCCAACGCCCTGCCCTGCCGGTGTCCATGCGCAAAGCCGCGGAGTTTTGAACCTGCAATGTCATACCACAATGCACATTTCCAACTGGTGCTCTAACCACTGAGACTTCAGTGGGTTTTTTTTTTTTTGTTTTTTTTTTTCAATGTTTGGGATTCTTGAAACTTCAGAGATGTTGCATCACATAGTAAACAGGGCGAATTCTACAGATAGCCCTACACACCTGAGCCCCGCCCAAGACAACCGTAAACTGGCCATGCTATTGTCTCCTTAGTCCGATGAGCCCTAAAGCCTAAACTTTTGTTGGGGTATTTTAATCCCCCATGGCCTCTGAGTCCTGCAGCCTACGGTCTGCCGTTGGTTGCTGCCCTGCTGTTGCCCAGGCCACTGGTAGGTGCGGTTCCCATCCCTGAAAAAACAACAGTAGTAAGCGGCCTCTACAACACCCTGGACTTTCTATATAGATAAAAAGAAGGAAACTACGCGGGAGTCACAAAAATGAGTTATAATTGCAGTATGGGCCAAGATACAGTTTGCAATTGCAGTTTGGGCAATGTATACAACCCAGCTTTCTGGCCAGGTAGGGTGCCCGAAGTGCAATTGCAAACTGTATCGTAGCCAATAGTGCAATTATAACTCGTTTTTGTGACTCCCACGTAGTTACACCCCCAAAAAGGAAGAAAAGGATCAAGCCTGCAAAGAAACATGACCTTGGGGGGAAGCAGAAGAACTAAAGCAGCAACCAAAATGCCTTCCGCACTAAAATTGAGCCAACTACGCGAGCAATCCTATGTATTTCTCAGCATAAATTCACAGCATAACAAAAAGGGATTTGAAAAAAAGAGGCAGCAAAAGGCACGAGGAGGAAAAAGACAAGAGCAAGAGAGAAAGGGGAGGGTGAGTTCTCACAGCCCTAACACTCACAGATCGCAGACAGAACTCGTAGTGGCACAATGCATAAAGAGCAGCGGAACACAAACTACAAGACAGAAAGAGGGTTGTTTACCACAGAGGGCTGTGGAGGAATGCCTTCCCTTTGCTCTCTCGTTTGGATGCAGGTAGCCATGATTGCAGCCAGATCCCTTCAGTGGATTAATAATATGTGTCCATCTTTTCTTTCTCCCCCCCCCCCCCCCCCCCCCCCC